CGAATTATACAGTGGAATGTCTAACTTATCCTTATTTCTGGTGTTAACACTGTGAATCTTTGATCTCATTTGGAATTTGTCACACAAGTACGGCGGAGCTAACCCTTTCAAGCACTTATATGTCATAACCGCATCCCTGAGTTTTAACATATACACTCAACTGGAAGCCAAGCTAACTGCTGAAGGATAGGCGTCACATGGTCATATTTTCTGATTCCAGTAATAACGCGTGCCGCGAAGTTCTGCACGCTTCGCTGTTTTGATATATTCTTTTTGGAGGTGTTCGACCAAACGGAGGAACAATAATACATTTTACTGAAGACCACTGCATTTATAATAAGGGATAAAGTGTGTTTGTCGAAAATATGCTTAACTCTGTTGATTTGGCATAACTCAGTGATACATCATAATTCAGTGATTCAGTGATACATAGTGCTTGACTAAGGCCTGTTCATGCATTATGTATATTACATATATACTAATTAAGGTACTATATACATATATAATACTAAAAAGGTACTGCCATGACCCTAACCCATAATAGAGCTCGACAACTGGCCTCTGTTGGTTAGAGTGCTGCACTGGAATTGCAGGTCTAATTCCGGCCAGGGACCCACAGTTGCTTTTTTCACAGCTTTTCCTTGTTTTGGTATAATAAGTGTCTATAAATTGACAATTTCCATGTACAAGACCATTCAACTCTTATAATGAGTGGGATGCCAACGGAATCTCTTAGAATAATATATAGTGTCCTAAACAACTGAGCTACAGTACAGAATCCAAATGTCGAGCTCTAACCACAAGTATATTTACTGGTTACTGACTTGTCAAGGTATCAGTAAATATTAATATGTTTTAAAGGTTATAGGTTTCAATTTTGGTATTTTGCGATACTAACACAGCAGTACCCAAGTATACATACATGAATTCCAGCTTGACAACTGGACTCTGTAGCTCAGTTCTGTTGGTTAGAATGCTGCAATTGCACCAGGATTGCAGGGCCGCAGGTGTGATTCCAGCCAGAGGACACAATAATATTGAAAGTGTGTGAGCGACTAGCAGTCGGGATGTACTTTTCATATACCATGCTACTTTCTGGGAGTTCATTAATTTTGTCTACCACAGTACTTATTGAACTTGAAGCTCACAATTGGGTTGGCTTTAAATAGTATACAGTTTATAGTTTAATAATTAAAAATAGATGTGCTATAAGTGATATAAAACAAACTATTATCTAGTCTAATGGGTTGGCATATTTGCAAAATTGTACAGCACCTTAACACTTAATTGTGCACGAATAATTTATCATCATGACAAGAATAAACCTGTTTACAGTACGATCAAAATGGGCTCAGTTCATAATATGAAGATATACATTGAATCAAAAAGACCATGATCAATCAGAAACTCAATTACAAAAAATACAAGAGATATGTAAAACCTTTCTTACCTTGGAATCTGATCGCTTAAGCTCCTGAGCTGTATATATTGCATTTTTGTTCTCCTCTTCAACTGCCAACAGCCTAACTGTGTCTTTCGCATATACTTTCCAACATCGAATATTTTATTGCGTGCATGCCTTTGTAAAAGGTATAATATTATCTTTTCTAGCACATTTTGTCAAAAACAAAAAACATACGATTTTTAATAGATATCTTGACTTGTATTGGATTCAAAAATAAAATGAAAATAACACTGTAGAAAGAATCCTATACAAGCCGAAGTTGTTGCATTTTGACAACATGATGCGAAAGTCGCCATTTCCCTTAAATGCCCCGAACAACAAGCGCTCCTGTGGCAAAACATTCCCGGTAACCATGGTAATCTTGATATCATTTTGATCCCCAAAACACGCTCTGTTTCCCTGTTTACCTTAAATAACCCTCAAGGAAAACGCGCACAAGCACGCGCTCGTGGAATTTGAGGAATTTTTCAATTATCAAATTCGCTACCAAGCTCCCAAAATTGTTGTGCGGCAACGAAAAAAATTGACACATTTTAATGTGCAATTTCGCGTGCAAAAATGCCAGGCGTGTCAAATTGATCAAAATGTCAAATGTATAATAATAATGAGAATTGAAGCTATTTTGTTTCGGATATATTAATATACTTAGGGAATCATTGAAAATAATTTCCCTTTTCCCCCAGAATTTGGGTGTCCAAAGGCATCCACTTTTTGTTCTATGGCCGTCCCAGGACGCCCTTCTGGCGAAAGGCCTGGTACTTGTCTATACCAACCACTGAACCACCTCAGAACATAACTTCTTACATGTTGGAGAAATGCACAAAACACTCATGTAGTTTACCTTATAACAACCCACATTACGTGCAAATACATGTGTACATAGAACGTCAAGCCTATCTCACAGCATAGTTTAGTGGCGAGGGCACTGCATAGGTTCGACCCCTGCCGTTGGACCTAACGTTCTCAGCTTGATCTATAAAAAATGTGCATTTAAACATCACAAAATCAGTTTGTTCTCAATACATTGTTCTGAAATAAGTGTTAAATTTTGTTGCAGATACTATGCCAAACCATCGACAACAGACAAGAAGAGCAGTGTCGCAATTTTTGTGTTGCAGTAACAAGCGCTCTTAAGGAGTTGCTGTCAACGAAGGCGAAGGAGTTGCTGTCTACTTTCGATTGAAAGCAAGACCCTTTTTGTCATGGTTACCACGAAGATTTGTGCAAAAACAGGGTAAATTAATAAACGGGTCCAGATATCCCATAGAGAAGGTTTGCCTAACCATAATAAGAAGAGCATGCAATACTGAGAACATTTTGCAATACATTTTGCAATGAACTCAGAAATATAGTACATTACCTTTTTTACTAATAAATAGATATATTTTAATATATTTACACTTATTTATAACAATTTCGTGAAAATAAATATTTATTATTATCACAATTTGTGAGTCCTATCATGTTTTCATCACAATTCTAAGCATTCAACCTGCTCTCTCAATGTGTGCTATGTGTCAGATTAACAATATTTCACACTTCTCTGTATTCCGTAATTTACCATTAACATGCAAGACTCTTCCCTTGACAATTAAAACTGTCTGGCATTAGACAGAGTAATGTAAATTGCTAAAGTGGGGCGTATTGCATGTTAAAGGATTAAAAACACACCATTCAAGCAATGTTATTTTAGTGTCATAGTGGCCAATCATAAATCACCAAACTCAAATTTGTTGCAGAACTAATTCAATGACATGTAAACTTTCATAGCAAAGAATATTTCTCAATAGTGACTATTAATACAGATGACAAAATAGATATTAACTAACAACATTGCTCATAGAAGTATTACTGCAGAGCTTTCAAGTGTTTTGCTCAAGTGTCAGAACAATGTCAAAACTGTTCCTGTCAATTTGGCAACTTGTTTTCCTTATTGCTCATTGTTTCAATCAAAAGCTTTTTTAGTTTTTTAAGACACCGTAACTGTGTCGTAACTCCAATTTCTTTCAACTTGTCTTTAATCTGATGGGCTGTCAGGGTATAAATGTCAAAAGGAAATGGCGCTTGAACATCTTCAACAATCTCACCAGAAAGACGAACATGCTTTGCTCTTGTATCCTTAATATTAGATTCCCAGAAGCTAACACACTCTGCTTTTGGTATCTTCTGGGTGTTCTCTCGCATTCTGCTAGATGTTCCACTCTCTTTCCAACCCGAAAAACATCTTTAGCTGCATCCCACTTATTGGACCGTTGCAAATGGACTCGTCGACAGTCATCATTTAGCTTTTCGACTCCTATAAGATGTAATCTTTGTAAATAAAATATTGGGTAATTATCAAATAATTTTTAACAGTCTTATTACCTTGTCCTGTAAACTTGTTAATTCCTTTGTGTACCTCCATGAATTTTGGCATGTGGTACACCATTGTGTGCATATATGGTGTGATTCTTTCCTTCTCATATCCCATGGCTTTGCCACTGAGGGATAAAAAAGTTATCCATTCTACAGCCTGAAAATAAAACACCACTTTTAATAAATTAAATTCAAAATTTACAACCAATAACCTCACGCTTACAACAATGCCATATTCCATAGTTGCCTTGAGATTGTTGTTTCGGCATTATTTCTCAAACTAGAACTCATAATTTACAGTATTTTATTTCTTACCTTAGCAAAGTAGTTTGTAATTTGCTGATCAGTTGGATTTTGGCATCCTAATATTTTATACAGTTCATCAAAGTCCTTGACAAATAGAAAAAAAAAGTTCTATTTATTATTTTAAATAATTAATTGAGGCTTGGTTCCTCCAACAAATAAACATGAATATACAGTAAATACCTTCCAGAGTTTGACTACTGTTGCACTTGTTTCGGGTCTGATGACTCCAGGTAATTTATCCGGCAAAGTTCTAAGAAGCAACTTCTTGTCTGACCCCATCAGACTTGTGAAGTGGTGAATTCCACTTCCCTTTCCATCACCATCCTTCTTTTCCCACATGCTAAATGACACTCCACAACTAGAAATGCACTGCACAAGACTCTGTAAATGGTTGTTGGTTCTTTGTGATGGAGCTTTGTCTAGATTGTCTTTTCTGTCCCATTAAATGGCATCCTTAACCAGATTCTTTGTCAGTTTGTCTAGAAAATAATAGCGCAAACAAATAACCATTTTAATTTCACAACCAGATGAAGTAAAATTGTAGTGAAAAGGTTTAAGCCTTTCACCCATGTTTGTCCAGCAGTACTTTCATCATGTTCCTTTGGCTGAAAGATCAGCATAAACTGAAGTGCTTTCACTTTTATGAGCAACAAAATACACTGTAGCATCTAGAAGACAGTGCACTATAGATTTACTAGCAAGTACACTAACCTGTGACACGCAACATTAAATGAAGTTCGTCCAAAACAACATTTTCCAGTGGAATGTCAATCAGTGGCTTATGCTGGCAAGAGAACTTGTTGCTCTTAGCCCACTCCTTGATTAAGGTTATAGTCCTGGCCAAATCTCCCCAATAGAGGTCTTTTGGCACAGACATTTCATATCTAGTAAGTTTAATAAAATGTCCAAACTATCATAAACAATTAATCTGCTCAGTCCGAAATGAATAATCCGCCAATCGCCATAATAAAAAAGATGGCAGCTGTATGTTTAACCACTATGCTAATTAGCTTTCCGTGATAGATAAACATTTTTTTAAGAAGCAAATATGAACAAAGTAATAGCTGTTTTCTTACAATTATCTAGGATTCAATGTTTAATGCGTGCAATGGATTGTGGTTAAACATGCAAGTTGCCATCTTTTTCAATTTTAATTCATAGGTAATTATATGGAGAAAAAAATGCATTTCTTTGTTATTTTGAAAAATTCTTGAAGTTATTGTCGTTGGCACAGCCAATCAGCATACATGTAGAATTTCTAACAATCATCTAAATTAAACTTGACTGGCCAAAAGCAGCTGTTTGTTGACTTTTATTGTGTTACAATAAGACATTCTTACCTCTTTATGTATCGATCAATTAGAAACTTCACCATCCCCCCCCCGGGCCGACCCTGGGAATTTGAACTTTTTGAAATTTGACAGATCAAATTCTCCACCCCCTGTGCAAAAACTGTCTTCAAATGCCCCACTGTAACAAGAAATTAAGCGTTCAAATGCCCCACCTTCATATGAAAATTATGAAACATAAAATACAAACAGTACAAAATATACAGAAATGTTTTTCGACAAGATAGCGAAATTCATGTAAAAAGTTTGGCTACCTTGTGGAAATTTAACAGTTTTACACAATTATGTAGTACACACCTTCAAATGAAGCACATAGATTTTCCATGCCCGTTTCTTTGAGCCAGTTTTTCACAAAATTGAGGCTGTTTCCCTCGAAATCTGAGAAAACTGTATTTGCCGCCAATGCGAAGTATTTTCTGTGCATGCAGGAAGCACACGAAAACGGGCAAAATTTTAAGACTTCCGGTTCAAATTCCCCACCCCGTTATCAAATGCTCCACCACATGGAAGACCTAGAACGTCAAATTTCCTACTCCCTGGAGAAGATTTGAAGTCAAATTCACGGGGTATGCCCGGGAGGGGGATGATGAACTTTCGAATTGATCTATATATATATATATATATATATATATATATATATATATATATATATATATATATATATATATATATACGAGCCATAGATCATACAGAGAAAATGTGGTTTATCGTTCTCAAAATCCTTTAACGAGGCTTGATTTCATCCTTATTATGAATTATCATATACTCCAGATCAATGGCTCCCTTTGAAGTGACTTTTCACTGAAATCCAGTAAAACACTGACAAATAGTTTTATATCCGCCATTTTGGGGATATTTGCTAATCTCTTTAAAAGCCTGTCCCATTCTTGATATGGAGGGCCTGCCCCATTCTTGATATGGAGGGTCTGTCCCATTCTTGATATGGAGGGCCTGCCCCATTCTTGATATGGAGGGTCTGCCCCATTATTCTTGGTCTGTCATTACAAGCTGCTCTGGCCACGGTAAGGCCACATAAAAAAAATTACTTGTTTAGCGTCCACCCATTTTAATTTTTCTAGGTCGGGCGGACGGATTTTTTTTTTTTTTTCGTAAAATACAACACAAAATTCTGCTAAATGCAGGAAATCCAGTATATTACCACAGTCAAAACTCACTTTAACTCTTTCAAAATCCGTTCATGTTTTTTAACTTCCCGTTCATGTTTTTAATAAAACAGAAAATTACCGTTTGGCGGTCACACGCGAACACTTTAGCTGCGAACAGGCATATTCTGGGAAGGAAACTTTGTGTAAACGTATTACATAGCTCCCAGAAGAATAAAATCACCATTTTTTCAAGTAAAACGGTCTTTTTTATGGCGAGTTTTTGCACTAAACTCGGACGGATTTAAAA